CTTTATTCACAATCTCCTCATCACAGGCAGGCACAGCACTCATTTCAGCATGTGTTCGTGTTCGTGTGTGCTGTCTGCGTCACTCATAGTACGTGCCTATATCGTGCGCTATATCGAACAATTTTTCTATCGATATCGAAGGTGTACCGTTGATAAATATCGATACCATTTTATTGCCCAGGCCTAGCACTAGGGTTGTGTGATATTGCCAAAAAAATATCTCAATATTTTCTGGGATTTTATCGAATTAGACAATATTTTTCTGAGTGTGTTGTGCTGTTATCTTAAGGACTAACATGGACAGCTGACTCTTAAAGTTTTGATATTCTTCATATTATGTGTGGTGATCAGTTCACAGCAGTGATATAAATTAATCTTTTCCAATAAGTTTAAACTGATTTTTGCATTTTATGGGCATTTTTACCTTTATAAAGCCATTTTTTATAAAAGTGTCCATTATCTTTTGAGTCAAATTCTTACATTTAATCAGTGAATTAGAATCATAAGACATTTGGGCTGTAACCAAACAAATGAAATCAGTGTCAACAAAATGAACAGTATCAACAAAACCATGCAGAAAAAACACTGAAGCTGCATCTGAAGTGTCATGTAGATGTATTCACACACTGTTTAATGCAGGACATGAATGCATTTAACCTGCGATTACAAATGCATAAATGTTTTGATATAGCCTACATAAAAGGTTGAACACTGATATTTGAAATGATTTAAAGAAAAGATAGCCTACTTTAAAGGGGTCATATGATGCGATTTCAAGTTTTCCTTTCTCTTTGGAGTGTTACAAGCTGTTCCAATCACAAATGCAGACATGGTTTTATGTTTATGCGGCGCGATGCAACGCAACATGTAAAAAGACAGTATAAGTCATTATGTCCCCACTGGATGCTACAAATGCCTCGTTTGTCATGGGTTTTATTGGTTTTGTCTTTGCGCCGGGACACGGCATCACAGTATGGTAAGGGGCGTAACATTTCCGTCACACGCTTGAGGTATTTGGCCAATCACAACGCACGTTTTAGCCGGCCAATCAGAGCACACCTCGCTTTTCAGACCGATGAGCTTTGTAAAAATCGACGTGTTTCAGAAAGGCAGGGCATAGAGGAGAAACAGTAATGTACAGTATGTGGAAAATAATGTGTTTTTTTAACCTTAAACCGCATAAACACATTTCATTACACAAAATAATGTTCTTTTTTAGCAACGTCATATGACCTCTTTAAATGTGAAATTAAAACCACCAGTAGGTGGCAGCAAGTCACTGTTAATAAGTGAGTCATTGCGATTGAACTGAATCATTTAAACGGTTGATTCTTTCAGGAAAGAAACACCATCAGGTTGCTCAGAGATGCAAAACAGTGCTGTGACTTTGTTTGGAGTTATTCTTGTTGTCAAAATAACAAAAACAGGCAATATGGTGTCTAAACCGTAAATCTCTTATAACTTCTTGTTTATTAAACTGTTGTAAAAAAAATAATGTAATCATGCAAACTTTTGGAGAAAAAACGGCACGCTTTGTGTGATATTGATCAACTATATGAAATTATATAAATATTTAAAATATTTATTTTATAAACATTTTCTGCCCCATATCTTGAATTTTGTGATCATTCTAAATGTGTTTTAATAGACTGAATCATGCAGCGAAAGAACGCACTGTAAATGCACACACGCTGTAATCTAACATACAAGACTCCACGTAATGTGCGTGCACTCTATAGGTGTGTTTTGTTTGGTTTTTTCAATATACTATTACTCAATAATGTCAAATCCCATATTGTTAAAACAACAATTACGATATTATCGCATACGATATACAGTATATCTCACACCCCTAGTGTGTACTGTGATATAATCTTTGATATCGTCACATGCCTAGTCACACAACATTGTGTTCTGAAGTCTTTCCCATAGTGATGTAGGAATTTGGTCTGTGTTGCCTCATATTTAGAGCCAGTGAAAGAGGAAGTGTTTCTAAACACCAAACTGAACTTAAATACCATATGAATCAGAATATATTTTAGTTAGTTTTTTTAGAAATTGTGAGGGTGTCAATAATTTTGCCAAACGTTTTGGAGAAAAATAATTTCATTTATTCCACATTTTCATAAAATCTTAAAGGTTGTTTAGATTTTTGTTAATATTTTTAATGAAGGACTACAGAGTCTGTTTTGCGTATACCAAAAGGTGCTAATATTAGTGTATAAATACTAATATTTTATTATAAATAAATACAATTATTTATTGACTAGTTTGGTGGCCTCACAGACTTTTCAAATTTACATTTTCATGAAATCGATGACACATTTAACACAACAAGGTAGAAATAATAACATTGGTATAAATGTTTCTAATTGACAAACAATTAACAAGCATGTCTCAAAATAGGGAAAATGGCAACAATCTCATATGCTGAATCAACTCAACTACATGAAAAAGGTAAAAAAAAAAGAACTTTCATTGCTTATTTCAGTTTTTCTAAATTTGTAACTCTTTTTCTAAATCTAGCCTACTACTTCTCAATTCCTAGCATCATGATGCAACCAATTGGTTACGCTCTATAAAGTGTGCAGAGTTCAAGGTGAAAAATAGCCCCTGAGTTACATGTCTTTGTACATTAGGGTAATCTGAAATATTAAATGCCTTTTACATAGAATTTGTAAGATCCTTAAGACGGTTGGGGATGTCTGAGGGCAAAACCAAGTTGCATACCCAAGCTTTGCTGGGGTGCACATCTTAGAAGGCAGGAAAGTTTCAAGTTATTGATCAAACTCACAACAACTCAACTGCATCGGTGGAAAAAAATGAATCGCTTACTGTCCACGCTGGTGCACAGAGCAGAAGGTAAGATTGGGCCAAGAACAGGAAAGCAACTTTTATTCCCTCATCAATACACCAGCACACTCTCTTGACAAATGTTTGCCAATACGTGAGAAACAGGATTTTATGTGTTCAAAAAATTATCTTAAAACCTCTGTCCTTGACCACAGAAAATGGCATGAACTATGTTTCTATCCAAAACTGCGAATTTAACTGTAATTGGAATATCTCATAAACATTTGCGAATAAAGTTTCCATCCAACTAGTCAAAGAGAACAAAATCATCACTTCCTGATAAACTGGCACTAAATATCATCAAAAAAAAGTAGGAGAAGCCACTGAATATAATAGTTTTGATATATAATAAATTACTTACAGACGAAACACAATAAATGCGGTCATTGCTTTCAGAGGTGGATGTTTGGGAATGCTGTCATGTAAGACGGTTCTGGGAGGCAATTATACAGAAATACTTTGACTTTGCTCAGGCATTTCAGAATAACCATAACAACATTTCAGATGCTGTGCATTGAGATCGATTTGTTTGTTTTGTCCAGTTATGCCGTCCCATTGCACAAAGTCGCAAAGACTTTTTTTAATGCGCATGGATTATATTAATGTGTTTCCATCTCCCATTATTTGCACAACAAGTCAAAAACCACCCTTAAGCAAGCATAAAAACATTTTTGCGATATAAGGGAATTCATTTTTTTTCCAAAATTGGGCATTTCCATCACTCGTTTCTCATGTGATACTTTAAAATGTGCATAAAAACAGGGTGATGGAAACATAGCTACTGTTAGCTCTGAACTCTGTGATTTTAGTATTTATGATTGTAGACAGATTGATCAGGACACCTCTAGAAAAAAAAAACCCGTTTGTGTTGGTGCTCAGAAATCGTACTGTCAAGGATGCAAATGCTAAATGAGGACGTCACAAGATCCACTTTTTTTTTAAGGTCATTAACATTTGTGTCATCTTCAGTATCTTTAAAGCAGTTGAGATGACCAGTTGAGAAACCAACAAAATGTGTATTCCCTCCTACATATATTGCGGCAAAATTAGCAGGAACTACATGACTGGATGATTTGTTCTGAAACTCCACTATTATGCAATGAATTATTGCTAAGCGATATTTGCGACTACTGAGATCCACAACAAAATGTTCTTTAAAAAAAAAAAAAAAGAATAAAAACATGAAAGTGACTGCCATAGAAGAACCTTTTTGTCTAAATGGTTCCATAAAGAACCTTTAACATCTGAAGAAACTTTCTGTTTCACAAAAGGACAGATTATAAAAAGGTAAGAAAGAGATGGTTCTTTAAAGAACGTTTGACTAAATGGTTCTTTGTGGAACCAAAAAGGGTTCTTCTATGGCATCGCTTGAAGAACCTTTTGAAGCACCTTTATTTTTAAGAGTGTATGTGAACTAAGTCATGTCAAGATCTTTCTACTGTAGTCTGAAACTCAGAACTGCTCTCTAAAGCCGAGAACACACTACACGACTATCAGGCCATAGTGTAACCACTAGATTCCTGTATAACCCATTGCATTTAGATATGTATGCATACATATTTAGACATTATAAAAAAGACTACTTCATTGTGGCTGATTTGTAGATTGTACTTAAAATTGTATCGAATTTTTCATAAAAGTCACAACGTTTTGTACCATTTTGATGTTTATTCAGAACTGATTAACTAAAAGTTGCTGTTTTTGAGTACATATCAATCAATTGAATCTGAAGAGCATTGAATATTTTGAACAAACAAGGGCTATCAGCATTAAAACAAGGAACCGATTGATAGCAATGCTCAATAAAAAAATAGGTTTATGAGTAATAATTCACCCAAAAATGTATTTTACCCACTGTAGGCCATTTCTTTTTAGCTTAACTGATGTTCAAGTACTCTGCCATAACAAGCAGTCTCATTGTGTGGCATGTTAATGTATAGAATATGGCTCATAGATTCAGATGTTAGAATCAGAACTAACAATTTAATAAACAGATGTTTTTATGTCTTTGCAGTATTACAGCTGGTGGAGTAGTTACACAGAAGCCATCAACTACCTGATGACCATTCCCAAATACCGCATCCAGGCTACTGAACTGGCCAAGCAGCAAGGTCTGCTGAATAAAACCAAAGAGAAGGGCAAGAACCGGCGCTCCAAAGAGGAGATCCGTGAAGAGGAGGAGCAGATTATCAGAGACATCATCAAGAACAAGATAGACATCAAAGACCAGTTTCAGCACAAAATAAACATGAATAAACATCCGAAGGTATGTTAAAAGAAAGACTACAACTTAACAAAATCTGTATGCTGTCTCATGTAATTGCTAAATCAGTGTTTGAATATATGCTACATATATTCGTTACCATTTTTGTTCTTCAATCTTTAGTTTGAATAAATCCGTCAAGTTTTTATGACAGTCATTTAAATGTTTATATAAAAAAAACGAATTGGAGTAGAAATACTATGTAATTTTAACTTTAATTATTCAGTGTAATTTAAGTGGTTGTATACAAATCAGTTAATTTTAACCTTCAATATTGTAGTAATGTAGCACCAACTGACTCATGTATATTTTACAGCATTAGTTGAAAGTTTATTTTCTTGAGAGAATCTGGCATGTACTGTACCTGATAAATATCCAAAATAATTAATATTGAATCAAATCGAGTCGAATTGGTAATCAAATCGAATCTCAAGCTTGTGAATGAGAATTGAATCATGAAATTTGTGTCAAAACCCAGCCCTAATAGCCTCTGGTGGTAATCCACGTATGTGCGCTTGGCCATCGACGTGATGCACCAGGAATCTTGAATCTTTCTACCAATCATCAACGGTCCAATCTCAATGATCTTGGGCCCATTTCATGAAATTGTTGTAGCTGCTGGTGACTGCCATTTCCAAGATCCAAGTTCTGAAGTGCAGTGCCATCACAATTTGTCCTTTATCAAATTCTGATAAGTCGGCAGCTTTTCCCATCTTGACACCGAACACTACTGATTGAAAGCTGGTCCTTGGGTGGTATATATACTGCTCTGTGAATTGCTCCTGTGGCACCATTTGGTTGCCGGGTACACTCATTGCGCTTATCTTGGGTTGGTCATAATGGGTCATAAGTGTATAACTCGGTATAAACACTCCTTATTAAGTCAAATGGTGATTTACTTCTTTTCATGATATTAAGCTTGAATGTGTGGTGTTGTTAGTATGTCCGTGTTGAAGGACTCCAGAATAACTGATCATTCTGTGTTTGATATATTAAGACGTACAGAGAGGAGCAGGAGGAAGAAATGAAGATGAAAATGGCCACAGACTCACGATGGAAACGCTACAGGCGTTGGATGAAGAGTGAGGGGCCTGGACGCATCACTTTTGCTGATGATTGACCTCACTTGAACAGAGAGCCGTCCCAGATGCACGTCCAGCCTGAGCACATGAGTACACACAACTCTGTGCGTCCTTGTTTACAATAGACTGACAATGTGCACGTCATTTACAAGGCTGCCTTTTCTCATATAAAGACTATAAACGCTTTTTGATTGTACCTATGGAGGATGATTTGATTTTTCTGTCATTGCATAGGAGGAAGAGACTGTTGGAAACAAAGAAAAATAACTGTAATAACATTGTGTTGTTTTACCAGGAGAAATATGATCACAGGCTGTAGAAACCCAGTGTTATTTTAACCCAATTTTAAACACTGAAAGGCTTTGTGTCTCTCTTTCTGTCAGCTATAAATGTTACATCACCCGATGCTGTGCTTGTGCCCTGAAAGCATTTTTTTTCTCTCTTTCTTTCCTTGTTCCTTTCTTTTGCATGTATAAAGTCACATCAAATTTTTCAGTTACAGGCTTTAGTACTGAAATAATGTTTTATAGTTTATGGTTTGGTTAGCAAGACTTGGTTACCTTGTAGGAATTCCTGTTCATGAGCATCCTGGTGACATCCATGAAATCACTTTAAAACAGTGCAGACATAACAGGTTGTCATGCAGTACTGTAGATATAATAATATTTTATCAGTAATTTATCATATTGTTATCTGTGCATTACCAATGGTGCACACTGCACATAATAAGGTCTATCCCCCAATGACTTTTCATTGATTCAAGGTAGTTTGTGTTTGACTATGTGCCTTCAATGAATGCTTGTAATTAGGGGTGTCATGATAAATTGATTTGTGGATCGATTCTGCGATTTTTCCGAATGCATTGCGATTCTCTCTTGAATTCAGAAAATTGCAGAATCGATCCACTAATCAATTTATCATGACACCCCTACTTGTAATTTCTGCATTTCAGTGGAATATAAAAGTACGTTTTTCCTCGCTTGTCAGGATTAATTTTCCTGAAATCTGTCTAGGAGAAACAATGCTATTAAAAGTATATTCTAGAAAGTACCACAAAAGGAGATTTTTTTTTTAAAACTATGTCCTTGTCATTCTTTTCCATGCAGTTTGATTATTTCCCGCAATATGTAACAAAAACAAGACTTAAGGGTAGAACAGAGAGATCACAAATTGATTGTTTGCACAGTATCTCATTTTATCATCCCCAAATTCATGATTCTAATCATCTTGGTTATGTACGTAACCCTGGACCACTGAGTAGAGAAAAATACTTCCTCAGCAGAAACACTACCCTCTAGACTGCCTGATCTCACATGTCATTATTTCTGGGTCCAAACTAAGCACTCTAGATGGCAAAAGAATATAACGAACAGTATTTATATGTGTTGACAATGTAATGATGTATGATTCTGATCTTTATCTCCATACCGAAATCTCAGTTGGCCAGACAGTGATTTTACGAATTGTTAAAATATTAGTGTCTGGAAAGCCATGAGCCCAGAGACTTAAGTGTACACTGAATATTTGTATTTTTAAACCCTGTACTTAAGTTCTTTATTGGCACCTATGGTTCCAATAAGTACTTTAAATATCCATGGAACATTACCGTTTCACAAAAGGTTCTTTAGAATTTACAGTGTTCTTTACATTAAGAAAAAAAAATCACTTGAAAGGTTCTTTGGGAAACCAAAAATACTACTTTTATGGAATTGCTGTGAAATCCTCTGCTAAAGGTGCAATATAAATGCATAGTGCTCACAAACAGCTTTCAAGATAGTATTCTCACTTAAGGCTTGGTAGGTGTGGATCCGGAAACCATATTAATGGAAGGTTGGTATGTCGCAACTTAAAGGGGTCCTATTATGCTTTTTCACTTTTTCAACTTTAGTTAGTCTGTAATGTTG